GTGCCAGAAGGAGCTCTTTTGTATCACTATTGATTAATTTCCAGTGTTAGATTTTTCACGCCTTCTAGAGTGTAATGACTCTGATAATTGAAGATAGGGAATATATGCATGTTGGCCACATTAATTGGGTGACCTAGACGTAACCTTCACATGTAGGGAGACCTACTTTAGGTAGTATTTCGTTTGGTACTTCCAGATTTAACCAAATTTGTTGGTTGGACATATGTGGATACATAATACAATCGCGTCCGCATATTACCTGGATATCATTTTTCTTCACTGGTAGTGAATGGTTCTTCCTTTTACATCAAGCCAATTGAACTCAAGACTTTACCATGCTGGATGAGAATTATTTCGACCAATTCACCAACATTCCTAATGAATACCTTTTTGTGCGTATAATTAAAATGTCTCTTTTGTTAACTGTAAAACCAGTCCATTAGATATTTGTATTGCGATGAAGTATACTACTGGTAAACAAAATCATTTGTAGCTTACAGTCAGCCAGCAACACGCGGGGCGGCGTCCAACTAAGCAAACCTAACTACATTGCTACCTTGATCACCTCCATACTTGTTAAATGAGAAAGACCTCCGGAAGAAATGGTTTCCTAACAATTCACTAAAAATATATTTAGTGCTATGAACCAGCACACTGTTAACAGGAAAATATTCGACGAAACCAAAGAGGGAAAGACTCCCGAAAGGGAGTGTTTTCAAAAAGTCGATCTAAAAATAGATTTAATTTTACAAACTGAAAAAATGTTAAGAGGCAAATATTGCATTCCACCTCAAAAAACAAAATGGCATACAACCAACTTGATTTCAGAGAGAGAAAAGAACGTACACCAATTTTTTAGTGGTACAAACTTAAATGGCACTAGAAGGAGCTCTTTTGTAGTACTATTGATTAATTGCCCGCCTTAGATTTTTCACTCCTTCTAGGGTGTAATGACAATGATAATTGAAGATAGGAAACATATGCATGTCGTCCACATTGGATGACCTACACATAATCCTCACATGTACGGAGACCTACTTAAGATAGTAATTTGTTTGGCAGTTCCAAATTTAACCAAAGTTGTTGATTGAACATATGTGGATACATAATACAATCGCGTCCACATATTACGTGGATATCATTTTTTTTCACCGGTAGTGAATGGTTCCTCCTTTTACATCAAGCCAATTGAACTTGAGATTTTACCACGATGGGTTAGAATTATTTTGATTAATTCGCCAACATTCCTACTGAATACCTTTTTGTATGTAGAATTAAAATTTCTTTTCGATTGACTGCAAAATCAGTTCCATTAGATGTTTGTATTGCAATGAAGTGTACTAATGGTAAAGAAAATAATTTGTAGCTTACAGTCGCCCAGCAAGATGCGGGGCAACGTCCAACTAAGCAAACCTAACTACATAGCTACCTTAATCACCTCCATACTTGGTAAATGGGAAAGACCTCCCGAAGAGATGGTTTCCTAACAATTAATTAAAAACACATTTAGGCCTATGAACATCACACTGTTAACAAGGAAATATTCGATGAAAACAAAGAGGGGAAGGCTTCCGAAAGGGATGGTACCCTAATAGTCCATTTAAAAATACATTTAATTTTATGAATCGGAAAAATGTTAAGAGGCAAATATTGCATTCCACCTCAAAAAACAATATGGCATTGAA